AATTAACTTCGACGTGGTATTCCATTACGTTACGTGCGTGCACCGAGTTATCTTTATCGCGCAAGAAACACGTGTAGTAATTATAGTCGGTAGTGGGGTATGAATCACGAAAGAAGGTAATTTTATATTAACAATAAATCGAGATTAACCGGGATAGGAGCAGAAGGTGTAAAAGGGGTCTGCGCAAGGGCCATGAAACGGATCGCGGAATGAAAATTAATTTTCATAATGCTTCGAATAATTTAACAGCTTGGCAGCTACTCGAACTTGAATTTGACGACGGCGCGAGCTAGGCAGGCGCACGGAGACCGTAAAACACCATGACGTAGATTAATAAAAGACCCACTTGAGCCCGTGAATCGTGCTGGCATAAAGTCACCGTTTTATGTACCATAAAATGTTACGGCACTTCTTCGAGGGGCGCGTTTGCACGCTCGTGTGAAAAAAGAAAAAGAAAAAGGGGAGCGCGTATACGGCCTGCTGGCTTACTCTTACCATAGATCAGTTTATACGGCGATTCCTAGATTCAGACCTACATCCTAGTCGTATACAAGCTGTGTTCACAATAATTCGCACTAATTTCCCGTTGAAAACGTTCGAACATCGATAGTCGCGCGTTCGATCAACCGCGTTATAGCAAATGTCTAAGTGTCGCGACAGAAAATACTGATATAATTTTTTTTTTTTATTAGAAAGAACATCCCAGTTCTTGCTTCGTTTGTTCGTAAAATTACAGGTCTCGCGCTTTCAACCTTTTCTTTTCTCTGTTTCCATTTCCACAAACCGAGTGACCGACTTACATTGACACTAATGACACTTCGTCTTTTTCTTAGCCACCAATTGGGTAAGACGGTTCTTCGTACTTTTATTCGAAAGTGTCGCGTTTCATTGGCCATAGCTGTTTAGTTCGTACTTCGTTCCCAATTTTGCTGCAATTTTGCGGTTTTGTAGTCTCTTATAGTAGTTTAGAGTCTTCAAAAAATTGTTCAACCGTCGAAGGGGAACAGTAGCAAATGGAAAATGGAATAAATATTGTATGGAGAACGTATCATTCAATTTGTTTCTTTCGTGAGAAACTGTTATGATCGTTTGTATTAAATTTTTAATTTTGTTTTTTAAGAAACGTTGTGAACAAATGCTTTAACAATATGAGCATAGTGAATAATTATTATTCAAGTTATATTTTCGTTGTGACTAAATTTAATGTTAATAATATTACCAATGATTTAATGAGATCTGAATTTATGTTATCTATGTTTACTGGTATTAAAATTATAATGCGTGATAATTTGATCAATGTACCTCTAAACTGTTTGTTCCATATCAAAGAGAATTTATAGTGCCTATAGTAATCAATTTTCTGCTATCTTCCTTTCTAATCCAGATATCAAGTACAGCTCGAAATTTTTTGAGGAAACACCCAATATTTCATTCTACTAAAACATTTTTAAAACAGTTTCTAATATACATATAGCGAACAGTGCTCGACATGTCCATTCTGTTGAGTGAAAGTGTGTTAGGCGATTAATGAGTGAGAGTGACACACATTGAAACGCGCCTCTGCATTAATGGCGTTTCTGCAATAATAGAAAAAGTGATTCCACGTGTTTCTACGTAGGCGATCCTACCGCTGTGTTCAAAGTTGAGCAAAATGTAATCTGATTACATGTAATCAGACCTGTAATTATACTGTAATGACACGGTAATTATTCTCTAGTAGTGGTACAATTATAATCGTAAATCTTTAACGGGTGCAATAACTGTTTAATTATCCTGTAGTTACCGCGTGATTACAGTACAATTACAGTGTGATTACATGTAATCGCATCGTAGCAAACATATCCAGAGTATATTTTTGTTATAACTCTGACTATGCTACATAATGTTGTCTTTAAGCTTTCCTCGCTGCACATTTTCAAACTCATAGTAAAATGTCAAATAAAGAACATATTTTTCTTCAAATAAAAGATTGGGATAAACTTGTATTTGCGCAACTTGAGATATTATTTCATTTCACATTTCAGATTGCAATCTTATCGAACAAATTAAATCCTTTTACGTTTTATTACGTATTCGAAAATTTTATCCAGATAAGAAATATGCCTATTAGCTTCGTGTTTCGATAAAAATGCGACTCGGTGATAAATTAATCAACGCATTCCTCCTCGACACCGTTCAACTTTTATTAGAAACACTTTCTGCTAATTTGTGACGGTTAAATTATATGACCCGTGTCGTATAATGTGTTATACGTATAAAATAGTGTTATCTATGTGGCAAAGTAGAACAGCTACTTTTACACCCAACATTTATGGTACGTGTCCGTGGTTTCGTGTTCGTAATTTACCCATTGGAGGGACGCGTGTGTTTCAATGTTTCGCGAACGAGCACAGAGACGCCATCCAATTTGCAACACAATAATAACGAGCACCACGTTCGAAAAGCTCTCGAAGGTCTACCGCGTGGCGCACAAATCAGCCTGGGTGTTTTCGGAGGCCACGATTGCCGGTATAAAATATAGCTTACGAGCTGCTGGCCGGTGCACAAAGAAGCGTTTCCAGAGGAACGAAGACGGAACGAGGGTGTCGCGATGTAAAAATGTATAGGAGAAACTAAGTCTGGGAGGAGGAGGTAAAAAGAAAAAAAGATGGTCGTCGTTAGAGCTGGGTCGTAAGACCTCGGAAATAGGAGGCTGTTTTGGCGAATCGTTGAATTTATCGTGCTGGTTCGCACGCTTTTTCAGCTCGCGGACCTCGTTCGCGTTTAGATTGATATTTTCAGAACTCGCGCGTCGCCTGCGCGCGACCTTGTCTTCGACCGTCTGCGAACCCTTTCGATCTTTCGACGATCTCTCGATCTCGAACCCCGTGACATCTCGAGATCAAATTCAAAATGGTATTACATTTTGCTGATCGCTATCAATTGCAAATTTTACCGGCTACGATCGTAAAATGTAATTGTTACAATTACAATCGCAACTTGTAATTTTTATGGCCTACGATTACCATAACGAAATATAGGTAGGAGAGACGACGATTACAAGTACATAAAATTTAATTGGAACTGACAAATATGTACAGTTATGGAGTACACGTAGAATTACGGAATATTATTGGATAAAGCTACTATGAGAAGCTACAATTATAGAATATAATACTATTTGGATTTCTTGATAAATAAAGGGATGAGTTGTGTCGTAAATATTTAAAATAATATCGTAGAACAAAATGGTGCATGCATCGATCGAATGAATTCTATGCAATATTGGCAGTATTCAAATCCATGCAAAGAAACACAAATTAATGCAGTCTTCTATAGAGAAATTCTGGTTACTTTCGAATATAATATCTAATTTTATTATTATGCTTGAAAATAAAATCAACAGAAAGTAAAAAACGACAGAAAATTGTAGAACAAAATGGCGTATGCATTGATTAAGTAAATTCTACATAAAATTGGCAGTATTCGAATCCAAACGAAGAAACACAAATTTATTAGACATTATTGATATAATGTAGTCTTCTACAGAGAAATTCTGGTATATTTTATTATTATGCTTGAAAATAGAAGAAACAAAGCTCCCCTCCTATCGACCAACCCTCATAATTCCTGCAAATTTTTCTAGGAAAGAGTCTCTATTAAAAAGGAACATCCGAAACGTAGGATTCCGGGGTTGTTTATTTCCTTCCGTTATAAATCAGCGGCCCTCGCGAACAATGCATTCTTGGCAATTAATAACAGTAACAAACCTTTCTGGAACCAGTTCTGAAAACGCTAAATCAACGCTCGACGTAAGGGAAGCTACGCACGATGCTAGGATATCTCGGCGTAAAAAATCGAATGGAACCTCGTTGCTCGTTTTCCTTGTCCCTTGGCGTCGTCTACGAATCTCCGTGGACGCCTCTCTTCCTCTTTGGCGTCGTTTCTCTCGATTCGTGGCGTATCTTAATGTACAGTACGTGTGCAATATGGCATCGCCGGCCCGTATATCGAGGGTTCATCGTGGGGTCCAGGGGGTCACGACCCAATCGCCAGAAATTCCTTTATCTTCATTCCTGCGTTTTTATTACACCCTCGCCGCCTTCTCCGTACGTCGTCCGTTCGATGAACCTTAATTGCGACTTGCGAGTCTTTGTTGCGTCGGGATCCTCTTTGGAAACCATCACGAACCCCTTTTAGGCGTGAATGTTCGTGCGGGTTTGATTTTTCAGATAATGGAAACTGTTTGTCGGATCGATTCGTACTATTTTAAATTTTAAATATGTATATCTGGTTTAACAAACAATTACCCTACCTTTCTTGGTTCATCATTTTGTGAGTAATTATGCCACACAAATACATACGTTGTAGCAGACAGTAAATAAAATTTCATTTTACTGAATTTATGTTCGTTGAAATGTTCTTTATTATTTTGTATGAAACTATGTTTTAAATGTACTTCGTGATCCAGTCGATAAAGCTTGTTCTTGATCCATTTTTTTTGCGAGCAAGAATACTATTTCCTAGTAGTTTATGAATTTTTATTCATTATACTGTTACAAGTTTTATAAGTTTAGATTTGAATGTTTATTTAATTTCTTTTCATGAAATATAGTAGGAATATTAAATAAGATTAAAAATATTTGATTAGGGAAACTTTCCTGTGGTTCAAGTTCCTATATACTGTCATAGTATTTATTATCTTGGGTTCCACATGCGTCAATCCATTTAAATGTACTTTGTATCGAAATGAAAATTGTATTTAATCCACTAGATATCTATTGTCTTTGAAGATAATCGCAAGAGCCATTAATTATTATCTTAGTTTTGGATAATGTAAATCTCTGTAGCAACGTCAATGGTGATTAAATGTAATCAATACAATATAAAACAATTAAATATAATCTACACTAGATTTCGAGATTGAGTTAGGCAGAATCTAAAATAAGAATTCTTAGAAATATTTTCAACTATTAGGTAATCACTTAAAATTAATATTCTTCTATTATTTTATGTTCTAGGTGAGTACGAACTTGAATCGAGTATAAGGAATTTGTCAACTGTTACGAGATGTCAAATTATTCCACCAGGATGAATTGTTGCAAATATTGAGGAGAAAATTATATCAAAGACCCTTCAGGCTTATTAAGCAAGTGGTACGTAATTTATACTTAATTGTTTAATTAAATGAAATTTTAATTAGTCAGGTGAAATTCAATCATAACATTAACTAGATTTTACTACTAAGAAATTTCAGTTAAGGTAAACCAGTGTGAGCTTGTACAACTTTCCTTTTATTCAAATTAAGATTCATTTACGTCGTTTTTTATGGAACCTAACATTTTTAAAATACGAAACAAAATACTACCCTTTTCGTGTTCTCTTTAAAAATGGATTTAAAATAATTCAGAATTATCATTTCCTTAAAAAAAAAAAAATAAAAATTTTAGCACTACTTTTCCTCGATGGAAAAACGATATTAAAAATATTTATTTGCGCCGTATTTTATGGGAACTGAAATTTTTAAAATAACGAACTAAATATTACCCTTTTCGTGATCTCTATTTAAAAATACAAATTTCAGCATTAATTTTCCTTGATGAAAAAACGATATTAAAAATATTTATTTTCGCCATATTTTATGGAAAATGAAATTTTTAAAATAACAAGCAAAATATTACCCTTTCATGTTCTCTCTAAAAGTGGGTCGTCTTAAAATAATTTAAAGTTTATGGTTTCCTTAAAGAAAAATAAAAATTTCAGCTAGTTTTCCTCGATGGAAAAACAACATTGTCGTCGCGCATCGGTTAACGTATAAATTATAGTCTTCCTTCATATTTTTCGTTGCACTTTTCGCCCAGGATGTGTTTCCTCGATTTCCAATTTCCTGCCCGCGAACGCAATAATGTTTCAATCCAGACTGATTGAATTCTATGAATTCGAACGATACTTTCGAGGCCCGCGTTCATAATCGTCCATCGAGCCATTTAATCTGAAAGTAGGGATGATGATGAATTCATAATGCAAAAAGGTTCCCACAGGAATTAAATGGATAACCGGCTGCAGTATCGAGATTCTTGCGATTAGGAACGCGGAACGATACCGAGGACCGAGATTGAAAGACGGCGGAACGATAACTCGACTACCGTTAAAACAACGAGAGAGTTATGTTACTTGGCAGTACGCGCGGAATACTGTTATTTTAACGCAATTTCGCGAATTAAAAAGCAGTTAGAACAGAGACGTTACTTGATACACTATAGTCAACGAGCGATGAAAACAAAGAACTGCTCGCATCATTTCCTGTCTCGTCGTGATTCGGAATCAAATCGTCTGGCTTTGTTCGACTGCATTTCTTAATCCTTTCCTACCATAGCCATATCTCTACGTATTTAGCAATATTAAATAAAATATCAAATATTTTTAGGTAAACTATTATTAGGAAAATTCATTTTCCCCTATAAGTTACTATTTCACTATTTTACTTCAATCGAATTCTGTTGTTAAAATGTATATTGTAAATAAAGTCCTTGTATTGCTGATAACGAATATATTCTGTATTCTGTGTATTTCTAATTTCGTTATTTATTATTATCGTTTGCTTTTACAAATTCATCTACTACTATTGTTACAATGCAGGCGTTAATCTTACATTTTGTATTTCGACTATTAATATCAAAAAATAAATATGTAAAAAAGTTGAGGAAAAGGTAATGTTATTAAGAAGCAAACCGATTTAAACGGAGATGCAGAACGTCTCGTTTACACCGTCTCGTACAAATTGTAACTGTTACGTTGTCTAATAGAATGGATGTCTGAAGTGAAAACATTCGAAGAAGACTATCGCGAAGTATTCATAATTGCGTGTAACGTTACTCGAGGCGCAAAAAATTGTGGAACTGTCCGTCGTTACGATTCGACACGTAGAATTCAACTGGTTGTTTTTACGTTTGTATCATTTATCGCGTTCAATGACTGTAACTCAGCACGGCTCGTTATCCCAATGGAAGTAGCATTTATTCATCAACAAGCATGTAACGATGCTTCCCGTGGAATAACAGTTAAAGCGTAATACATACATAATGGAAACCACTCGTACGTCGATCAGACGATTATAAGAATTGTCGAAGATTCGTTTTTGTCGAGTCAATGACTACAACCATAATGGAGGGATACCGTGATGGAAAGTGATCGAACGATCGAACAATACGATTACGATCTCGCTCGATCGCTCGTCTCGAAGCCTTCTGTAATTCTGTCAATGAAAACCTGTTCGTTTTCGATCACGATTGAAACTCGAATTCAAAAGTGAAATGAATTCAATTTCAACATCGTATATTCGTTGCTTGCCCCCAAATTTTATCGATAGAGTATCACAATTCCGATATGAAAGTTAATTTCTAACAGTACTGGGTTAGTTCTTAATATTGATTTGCGTTTAAAAATATTTAAAAATATTATGTTGTAAAAATTGTAATTAATAAATCAATAATTACAAATGGAGCTCCTTCCCATCTAGGTCGTAAAAAATCATTATTCTGGGTATCTGTAATAATTGTCAATGATCAAAATAATATTCAGTCTTGAAATTTAAGCGAAATTTTGAACAACTCACTTCAAAATGGAGAAAAAGAACCGAATTAATTTTCTGTCGAACAACTGTTTCGTGCGTTAAATGTTGTAAGATTTCAGTAAACTAATCGACTTGTCAAAAACGACAGTCGTTCATGAACGACTTGGCGATCGTAATGCCTGCGTAGCGACGTTGCGCTGGTATAAATAATGATCGTACCATCAGATAGATGATCGGAGATGCAATTAAGGTTACCTACATAGCAATTAGAAATATGCTCGGTTATATTCATACCGTTTTTGATGTTGATCATCGCGAAACGATCGCTTTCTCGAATATTATCGTACCTCATGAAATTAGTAACGCTGTTTGATGATGATCTCACAATACACAAAAAATAAAAACAGTCGAGGAACCCTTCCCTCCTCTTCGCACGTTTTAATATCGCCATTCCACGGACGATGATTGATATTTGATAATTAAGAAATTATGCAAAATAAATTGGATATTGAAATAAATGCAGCGACTGTCGATACAACATTCGTTAAAGAACTGCTGGGAAACAATTATTACATCATTATTAATTTTATTACAACAAGCTTTAATTCTTAATAGTGTTTCCTCTGTTCATAGGGAGTTCAATCGCGTTTCAACTTCTAATTTTTCTTGTCGGTTTCGTAAAGAATTTAATCTGAAATTTAATTTAAAAAATAATTAGGCTTTCACCGAACACAGAAAACACACTTCTGTAATTATATTCTACTTCCTCATTCGCAGTCTACTTGGACGAAGAGTCGAAACACGAAATATTACGTATTTTATCTAATATATAAATCAAAGTCAGTGTGATCATTTTCTCTTCTCTACTCTATCGTTACAATTTTTGTTTTGTGAAATTAAAAGCTATTCTAAACATTTGTTTATATTGACCAATTTTCGTTTGACATTACAGAGTCAAAGAAAGTGCAAATTCGTCTTCTCGAGCTCTGTTTCTTTTAATTTTACCAAGATAAAGAATTTTGAATTCGTATCTCCGTTTATTCCGTAGGCGAATTTTTTCATTTATCGTCGTTTCAGAGTAGATCGTAGCGCAAAATAACATCGTGTGCATTGAACTGCAATTTAAAGCGTCGCGGTGCAAAGTACGCATGGAACGGTATAACTCGCGCTAAGTCGACGTGGTGTTGCTTTCATGTTTAGGCATGAGTTAAGATCCCCTGCCATCGTACCTTTTATCTTCTTAACACCGCGCGTCCACCCTCCGGCGCGATATCGCGCTCCGCCATTAATTTCGAAACGTTAACGCAAATCTGCGTAATCTTCTTAGGCGCGGTTCGCCGGGGTTGCTGGGAACGACATTAACACCTCGTCGACATCTAACGAATCCGATGAAATTGTGTTTACGACCACAAACCCTTTAATTCTCCCCCTTTATACGATTCGCGGGGATCGCGTTTCCGTCGTCGTCGCTCTTGAAATTACGGGGATCTTCCACTTTGAAACGTTCTTAAAAATGTTCCTCAAACTTTTTAAACGTTATTGATAATAACTTTTACATGCATCTATTTATACAGATTTAATCCTTTGCATTAGGAAGCTTTTAGATTGTTACTACCAAGAATTAAAAGTTATACATATAGTTTTATTTTAATATATAATATATCTTTACGTACATCAAACTTTGAAGAAACGTCGATAATTAGTAAATTATAAAATTAATTATATATAGTTTTATTTTAATATATAATGTATCTTTACGTACATCAAACTTTGAAGAAACGGTGATAAGAATGTTTCTTAAATTTTTCTTACTTAAATTTAAAATCAATTTTAAATAAATTTTGTTCTCATTGTATTAAGAATTAATTATATTGTGTAGTCCTGAGAATACACTTCGCTAAAAGCTAACAACTATTAAGTTTGATATATCATATTTATTGCATATAACTGCCCGGTAGATTTTTATTTTACAAAAGCTAAAATTCATTTCATTGTCGTGCTCCTTGTATTGTGTTTTTCTCTGTCGTACGTTTTCCGTGTGATGACGCAAAGATGTATCTGTGTTGGAATATTATTGTAATCGTAGAAGACCCTACAACGCAAGGTCTGGTGTCGCAATAAAATGTCGGTCGAGCTGGTGGTATCGAGGCTGCATCGGACGATTTAGTTTAACGAGGCTGGATCGAGACGCATTTTCGTCCCGATCTGTCGTTCGATCGTGTTTTCACGCGAAGCGAGACGAAATCCGGCAGCTGTGATTTCGTCAAGCTACTCGTGCATGGATAATGTCGGTTAATGGACGTGGAAGGTAATGCTAGAGGATGGAGGGTAATCAGGTTAGTCGTTCAAATTCCGCGTACGTGCTTGTTATTAAATACGAATATGGTTTCTCGTCGGTTATCGGGATCAAGGTAATGCCGGGCTTTTTAAATCCTAACAAGTCTACACGGGGGATACAAAGTATCGTCTGCATTTTCTCTGAAATGTTTTACGAGGCTGAGATTAATTCCGAGAGATTAGAAAAAAAATTATTACAGGAACAGCTACGATTTACCGTAACCCACGAGCTTCTTAATAAAATCG